AGCCCCAGGTGTAGAACAACTGCAGCTAGCCTAAATCGATCTTAATTTGTTTGCCTGAAATTGAATTAACTTTAGTCTTCTCTGTATGACCTTATTTGTAATGTTGAAAAGCTCTATTAACTGCTTGGATTGGTGAAGTAGATTCTTCTTGGCTCTATGTGGTTTATCTGATAGTCACCTCAAAATAGATTTTCTCATGGTTTATATCATATACTTTGCTACGTGTGATTTAACATAATGCATCTTGTTTTAGACCTGAGCCTTATCCCACTGCAACCTATTTGAATTTTGTAGTTTGTAAATCACAAATTTACAATATGTATAATTGAACACAATACATGTGAAGAGCATTTACTCTTGGTGTGGTCAAGCTATTCCTTTTTAGCTAATTCTCCTCTGTGAATGTTGAATTGCTCGTTGCTTCACAAAAGAGCTGTATCGAAATATTTCTCTATGTATTGTGTATTTGTCCGAGAGAGAGCTTTGTCTGTTTTAAGTTATAGCACCATTTCAAATGAAAGAGATAGGATGAAGTACATTGTGAGCTATATCATTAAAAAGAAGTTCTTCTGATGGGATCTGTACCTATATTTGGTCCAAGTTTTTACCTAATATTGAATCTTCTCCTTATAATATCTTCGTGCGGCCTTAACTCGTCGGAAATGAGCTAAGCAGCCTAACGCTCACAGGCTAACAGTATATAAACAAGAGAGAAGTAGAGAAAATGTAAACTCTGTGTATTGCTGGAATTCAAGTTATGAACTTTACATGGTGGAGTTGCCTATTTATAGGCTCAAGCTCCTCAAAGTAAATGAATGACTAAGCTATGTGTTTCAGCATTAAGAAACCATGGGTGGCAAGCTTTGGTGCAGCCTTGGAAATGAAGCTCGTGGGTGGCACGCATGTGTGCAACCTTGGAAACGAAGCTCGTGGGTGGCGAGCATTTGTGCAACCTTGGAAACGAAGGTGCTTAGTCGCCGAATCTAGCTGCTGAGTCGTTAACTTAGCCCCTAAGTTAACTTAGCTCTTAAGTTTGCTTCACCCTGAAGTATACTTAATCGGTAAGTAACGAGCAGCATGCTTGGGCAAGCAGGCTGGTCGTGACAATAAGCTAGGTTAATGAATGATAAGAGAAAACGGATAGGGTAAAGGAGGCAGCATTTGACACTTGAGGTTGAGGGTTCATTAGCCATTTAAGATCCAGTTTTTTTGACATCAAAGTTTAGGATTCCTAACTGCAATCTTGTTGTTTACTTATAGTGACGATCTGATATTATTTTTGCTTGCTATTTTCTGATTAATAATTTTTCATATTTCTCGATAAACTATTGTAACTAGTCTGTTGGGGTTTACAACCTTCCTAACATCCTAACCTTTCAACAGATTCATCAAAAAATAGCAACCATAAACGTTTCACCTATAACCAATTTCTTAAGTAATACATCCAAAAATTTGTCAACAACATGGTTACCTTCACTAATATAAAGCCATCCCTTAATTAGCAAGTCAACTCTTCAAATGATGTATAGTTAAGATTAAGTACTAAAAGAAGGATCCGGAACAAAATTGTCCATTGTAGTGCAAAACATTTAAGAACAAGGTACATGCGGGGCTAAGGGGTCGGGGCTTTGAATCTGAATATCTTATCGAAGGTTGAAGACTAGAACAAGCTTCGACCTAATTTATCAAAAGCTATCACAAGAGGAAATGTAAACCCAAAAAAATTAGCTTGAAATCACAATTTCTCTTCTAATCAAGCACAAAATGATCCTAATCACAATTACTTGCTTAGCTTAACCCAAAAAAATTAATTTTTTTGTTCTACAATTTCCTGGCAACCAAACAGAGACCAAGCCATCACATTAAAAAATGGTTACTTGGTGCTAGTGAAGACGAGTTGTCGTTGATTTTCGGAGAGGTAGAGCTCGACTGTGATGGATGAAGAGAGCAGAAGACGAGATCACGAGAACAACGAGAATGAAGAAAAGATCGCTACTGGCACAGTTCCTGAGCAAGAAGAAGACGAGAATGATGGTGTAGCTCCAAATAGATGATGGTGGATGAACAGAGCAGATCGGCGGTGAAGCAGAGTGAAGAGAGGAAAGAGAAGAGATCGCAAAATGGGAGGAGATTCACAATACCCCAACTAACGATGAACTATGCAGTTGACGGTGAAGGAGCGACGATGAAGGGAGACCCGGTGGATGATGAAATCGTTTAAACCAAAAAGTAAGGGAAGTTCGTGAAAGGGGGGGGGGGGGGGTGGGAATCGTTGATAACTTGATATTTGCTCTGGGATGGTGGGTTTAATGCTTAATTTTTATATAACAGGGGTTTAGTTAATATTTTTACTTTTAACATTTTTTAATTTACATTGACCCGGTTTTTGTAAAAATAATGGTTGGACCGGCGGGTGCTGCAGTACCCCCGTCCAACCGCGGGTGAAGCTAGGCAGGCTAATTATGTCAGGTTTAAGGCTCACCTGGTTCAACCGGGGGGGTTGATAACTTGATATTTGCTCTGGGATGGGGGGTTTAATGCTTAACTTTTATATAACAGGGGTTTAGTTAATATTTTTACTTTTAACATTTTTTAATTTAGCATTGACCCGGTTTTTGTAAAAATAATGGTTGGACCGACGGGTGCTGCAGTACCCCGGTCCAACCGCGGGTGAAACTAGGCAGGCTAATTATGTCGGGTTTAAGGCTCACCTGGCCCAATTGACTGGCCGGGTCCCGATTCAACCGATTCAACGGGCAGGGTTGGGCCAGGTTTTAAAACATTGTTCATAAGAGCAAATGTCGTGTTCTCACCCAAGGTTTAGTGAAATCTAGGTTCCACCCCTGGTTTTATAAATTCTAGAATCTCACCCTTAAATTAATATTGTTTGTGACTTTTTGAGTTCTAACACTGTATAGATAGTGCTATTACTAAACTATCCTTGAAAAAATAAATTAGAAAATTAGTTTTTAACCCCCAGTTTTGGCTATTCCCAAAACCCTTGCCAAATTTTGGCCCACCCACTACCCCTATTGGGTGGAAAGGAAAGGCTAGTAGGCGACAAATGGTGAGAGAGGAAAGCTGATGTGGGGGTGGGTTTTGAAGAGGGGAGAATGGGAGATCGAATGGAAGTGGTTGGGTGAATTTCCTATGAGTGGGGCAATTGGAAAATAGTTGCAAAGATGGAGGTTTGCAAAGTCAAAAATCATTGCTACACAATCAAAAGGAGATGGACAGGTTGGTTGGGGGCAATTTGTCAAGCACCTAATGTGCATTGACAAAAGATGAGCAAATGGTGGTGAATGGGTGGATTCTCTGACAAAAAACAAGCACACAAACACTCTAATCAAACAACTAAACAAACCCAAAACTTCAATTGCATAAAAAAAACCTCAATCAACATTCAATTCCAACAAACACGAACGAACCCTTGGTGGAGTGGTGGACGGTAAACAGTGAGTTGTCGTGGCCGGGAAGGTTAGGGGTTTTGTTGGAGGGGGGCCGAGGAGTCAAACAGTTGTGGTAGTTGGGTTTTCGCCTCTTAAAACAGCCAAAAATTGGCAAAAAAAACAATCGTATGACGAGGCTGCCATGGCCAATGATTGGTGAGTGATGAGGGGGGAGGTGAAGGGTGAGGATGTGTGGGGTTTTTGTGAATGAAGGTTGGGGAAACTATAGGTGGAGTTGAGGGTGATAAACGGTGCCAGAATCAAGCCAAATCGGCCTAAACCGGCGGTTGCGACGATGGAGGTGAGTTGTGGAAGGTGATGAATTTGGCCAAAAACCAAGGGTGGAAACATAGGCTGTGTTTGTTTCTCTATTTAAAATACTATCCCATCCAAACCTATTTAAAATATATATTTGTTTCAATATTATCAAAATCCAATCCTATTATATTCAACTCAAAATATTTTTTTAACCCCCCAGGGTTGTTAATTAACTCAACACCCCCAATAATAAAAGTTTATAAATTGACAGAAACACCCCACCCACCCATATATTTCTGACAGTTGGCCACCACTACCAAAAAGTGGCCAGAATTTGAAGGAATGGCTCACAACCGGTTGGATGTGGCCAGTCATGTGCCGATCTGACATTTTCCAGCCAGATCCACTATGGATCTGGTTGGAAAATGTCATATTTACGGCCAAAGATCTAGCTGTTGATAGCCAGATTGATGACCAAATCTTGGCCTTCGTTGATGGCTAAGACATGACCATCATCAACGGTCAAATCTTTGGCCATTGATCTTGCCATTTCTGACCATATTCATAGTGTATTTAGCCAAAAAAAGGTCAGATCAACACACTACAGGCAAAATCTAACCAGTCGTGCGCTATTTCGACGACTTTCAACTACCGTCAAACGATGATAGTAGGCTTTTGACATTTAATGGGTGGGTGGGAGTGTTTTTGTTAATTTTAAAACTTTTATTGTATGAGATGTTTAGCTAAATCAACAAATGTAGGGGATTAAAAATAATATAAATATTTTCAAAAAATTTACTAAACACATTTTCAAATTCAAATCTTATTCTCGTAATAACAACCTAATTCAACTCAACTTTTTCAAAAATATTATTCTAAATGCTTTACCAAACACAACCATAATTATTTAGAAATTTTCATTTTCATTTTATATGTAATGTATGTAGAATAACTATTTTACTATTTAACTATTATATTAAACAATTTCTGTTAATTTAAGGTGAGAATATGAAATTTATGAAACCTTGAGTTCCGCTAAACCTTGGGTGGGAACACGTCGTCTACTCAATTGATAAATTACATACAAGGACTTATGCTTACAATTTAGAAATGAAAGAAAGAAAGGAACAAAGCAGCACCGTTGTATACACGTCAGCGAGAAATATCCGTTAAATTCATCAACTAACAAACATAGTGTATCTCGTCATTTCATAACTATTCTCTTCTACCTCTCCTTCCATATTCCTATCCCAACTCACCAAACTCACACACTCTCTCTCTCACAGTTTCTGGATGGACGCTAACTTCTTCTCCTTAAAATCTCAAACATTATCCCTTACCACCTCCACTCCCTCACTCTCCTTCTTCAATTCACTCAACCTCCGCCCACAATTTCTCAGGCCTCCTAATACTTCTCGAAGAAAAAAATGCAACAGACTCGGCCTTCTTCACACTCGCGCCTCTCCTCAATTTCTCGTCCGAGCTTCTCTCCATTCCGATTCCAATTCCATTTTTCTTGTCGTTGCGTTCGCCATATCCACCTTCACTGCTGTGGCTTACTTCAATCACTTTTTCAAGATTAATAGTAGTTCAAAACAGGTTAGTCAACATCCATTCTTTTCTTTATTTTTATTTTTTTGAAAATTTAAAACTACCTCGCTCTAATTGCTACGGTTTTTATTTTAATTAATGGCACAAGTTTCATTTTCACTGTTTATCTGTTACTATGGCTGTCGGATTGGATGGTTAGAGTTTGTAAGTGTGAGATTACTCTCAATCTATAACAGAGCATCTGTAACTTATTAATCGAGAAACTTTAGGAAGCTGATTAGTACTCTTATACTAGTGCCATAATAATTATTTTCTCCTATGTACGTCGAGATTTTTTTTATTGTCCAAATACTGCAACTTAACTCCTGCTGAAAGTTGTCAAGTAAGAAATTTATTTTACTTGCTAAATTTGTTTCTAAGATAATGCCCAATTTTATAGGTGTCGGGTTCCTCAAATAACGCGTTATCTCAACTAGGCAGAAGTACAGGGAACCACACCATTGAAAGTCATAATGGGACTACTTCAAGAGAAAATGAGTACTTGATGGAGAATGTAACCAATCAAGTTTCTAAGGAAGAAAATGCCCATCATCAAATTCAGGAATCTAGTTTGGTGCATGAAGGCTCCCTGTTGACTGGCGCATCAAATTCACTTGGTGTCGAGTCTCTTGTCTCTAGTAATGGTGATTATGCTTCTCCTCAAGAATCTGAAGCTACTGCTCTACCTATTGCACCTCATGTGCTCCCTGAATCAAGTGTTGTGCAACCACTTATGTTTGCAAATGAAATGCCTGAACTTCAGTTGGAGAAAGATCAAAGAGAAACTTATGTGGACACTGAGCTTCCTGAGCTGACAGTAAATATCACGTCTATTGCTTCATTAGTTCCTGAAAACAATGCTCATACTGAAGTAGATGATGAACGAAAATCACATCAGAAACTTGTTGAAGAGGATGAGATAACTACCTTTTATGGTGTCTTCCAAGAATCAGTCAGAGAAGAACAATACACATTTCATGGGGCAAATCAATCAGTGCTGAAGCCCCTAGCAAGCTTGGCTGCTGTAAAAGCTATATCTTCTCATGCTTCTCCTATGAATAGCTATAGCCTTTTTTCACTGAAGAGGAATACTGAAATAAAAGGAGCAGAATTATCAGTACCGGATACTTTTCAAACTGCAGGTGCAGATTATGCTATAACATCATTTATTTAGTATGATGTCATTTGATGTGTGTTTTAGTTTTGCATTGATACCTTTGTCTGCTTCGCTTGCCATTCATCAAAGCGGGCTGCCCCAGAATTTTGACTTTCCAATTGTACTGACATTATGTAAAGGATATTTTTCCATTCAGAGTATGTTGAAGGAAAAATTACTCTTTCACACGAAGGAGGAGCTTCCCACAAAAGAAAAGGCATAAGGAGAGGCAGAGACATCCCCAGAAACGAAGAAAGTGTAAATCTGGTACAGGAAAACAGCAGAAATTTGCTCCAGTTCCCCTATCCAAATGGGATGTGTGCTAATGACACTGATTTTTCAGAGCAATTAAGTGTTTACAATCGCTTGCTAAGAGTTGGGAGGTAACTCTCATCATTCACACTAATTTTCTGAAACATTGATTGTTTTCCTCTTAGACAATTTTCCATGATACAGATAATTGCTATTATTATAAATTTTGATTTGAAGTGAACAGTGAAGCAAGCTCTTGAACTTTTTCTTGCGTGTCAGAGAATAAAAAAGAACTATTCTCATGATGGCTGTAATAAACTTTACCTTATTTTTTTTCGTGATTCTAAAAATTAATGAGGCTATTCTTGAATGATTTATTAGGTTAACTGCTTGCGTAGATTTGCTTGAAGACTTGGAAAGAAGGGGTTTGTTGGATATGAATAAGGTAGGGTTTTATCCATTTACCTAATGGTTTGATCTAGAGCTTCACTCATTCTGGTTCCTGTGTAATTGATAAACTTCTTTTCTTTCAGGTTTATCATTCAAGGTTTTTTAATACCTGCAAAAGTCAAAGGGCTACTAAAGAAGCTTTTCGTTTCTTCAAGCTGATCTCAAACCCAACCTTGAGTGCTTTTAACATGCTGATGTCTGTGTGTGCAAGTTCTCAAGATTCAGAGGGTGAGTCCATGGGTTCTCTTCTATTTGGTATACTTCCTTGGTAGTTGCTGAAATTGATTATTTTGTACTGCTATGCTTTAGATTCCTGACGCTTAAATCCACATTTAGGTGCTTTTCAAGTTTTGCAACTTGTCCAGAAGGCTGGGTTGAAAGCTGATTGTAAACTTTACACAACTTTAATATCAACCTGTGCTAAAAGTGGGAAAGTTGATGCAATGTTTGAGGTATGGTAACTTCCTTCTTACTTTTCTTGGGTTATAATATCTCCAAAATTAGGGGTCTTTGACTAGGTTTCCGATCTAATTCTACCTCACTTTTCATCAATTATGATTTAACTATTAAAGTTGTTGCTCTGTGTTCCTGTTATCATCCTTATGCGTTTCTTGCATAACCACTACTAGTGTTGGCAACAATGCCTTCCTGCCACAGTCTTCAAGGTTCAACATCTTGCATTGGTTTGACCTTTTGCAATGTGATTATTTTCAAGTCTAATCAGCCACACAATTATTGTCCTTATAATCATCGAAAATTTTGACATAGTTTTGAACCAATAAAATTATATCTAACATGCATAATTTATGCACATTTGAAATAACACATGTCAGATACAATCCCCTCTTTTCAAAGTATTTTAATCTATTGATGCACTTGCATCATAATTTCTTAATAAAACAAGGGGCAGTATCCTTTCATTTTCGTGTATTTTACTTCTGCTAATTGATGAAAAGTTTGTTTAGAAATTGTTGAAAATTAGATATAAATGGTGCTTTGTATTTGATGGAGCTCTAATGCTGATTTTCTGCCTTATGAATTGACTTTGCAGGTGTTCCATGAGATGGTTAATGCTAGAGTAGAGCCAAATGTTCATACGTATGGGGCACTTATTGATGGCTGTGCAAAAGCGGGGCAAGTAGCCAAGGCTTTTGGTGCTTATGGGATTATGAGGTCTAAGGTATGATTGTAGAAATAAATTCTTTAAAATCTTTTGATCAGACACTTATTTCTTTTATTGCGATTCTTTGAACCCATTAATCTTACTTCTAAATGTATTTTTGAACAAGGCTGTTTCAGTGTTTCTTGATTAGTTTCTCGTTTCTAGCTCCCATTGAAATTTTACATTGATAAGATGTTGTATGCAGTAGAATGTGAAACCGGACCGAGTTGTATTCAATGCACTGATCACGGCATGTGGTCAATCTGGAGCGGTTGATCGTGCCTTCGATGTTTTAGCAGAAATGAATGCAGAGACGCGACCTATAGACCCTGATCATATTACTGTTGGTGCCCTGATAAAAGCTTGTGCAAATGCTGGTCAGGTGTGTACATCATTTTTTTTTCCATATTTTCTTGTGGTCATTTTTGTAATCTGAGAGTTATACATTTGCTATAGGTTGATCGAGCACAAGAAGTATACAAGATGATTCATAAATATAACATCAAGGGCACTCCAGAGGTCTATACCATTGCTCTCAACTGTTGCAGCCAGACTGGTGATTGGGAGTTTGCACGCAGCATATATAGTGACGTGAGAAGGAAAGGGGTGGTCCCTGATGAGGTATTCTTTGTTCTTTTGTTGTTGGGCCAATCTGATAACCCATCCTTGTTACCATTGGAATTTTCACACAATAGTAAAAATTGAAACTTCAATCTTTTAATGGTGCTGAATCATGAATTGGTGGTTCTTTTCTACTTCTATAATTGGGTTTATTGGAGGATGCAATTGGATTAGAGTTTAGGGTGTTGTATTTCATATATTATACTTCTATTTATTTTCTACAAGACAGGGAACTGGGGAAGCATTCCTTTAGGGTTTTTTAATTGATTGTAGTTCTTATTGTTGCTTGTTGAACATAACATGAAGATATCTCTCTCAAGTTGGCCTCTTATGCAGGTGTTTCTGAGTGCATTAATAGATGTTGCAGGGCATGCTGGAAAAGTGGAGGCTGCCTTCGAAATCCTAGAGGAAGCTAAGACTCGAGGAATGCGTCTTGGAATTATATCATATAGCTCATTGATGGGGGCCTGTAGCAATGTATGTCTCATCTAGGCAGTCTCCTGTAAATGTTGGATTTAATTTTTTAATATCAATGAATAGTTCATTATGGTTTCAAATTGGTCTTACAGAATAAAACTAAATATATGAGCATAAGTCTAGAACCCTCTATTTCCAAAACTATGTTAGTTAGCTAGTGTTTGACCGTTTCATTTTATGATACTTTAATTTCCATATACAAAGATTTAAATCTCAAGGGCTCCTACAACTTAAGAAGAATATCTCTTGTTTTGCTTTGAAAGCAAGGGTTATGATTCTGCGGTTCTATATTAGCATCTAAACAATAACAGGCTTGATTAATATTAGTTTTTAACAATAGCATGAGTTGTCTGTGACATGGCTTTGTTTTTTAATATATAATTCTGTGTAAGATTGCGTTACCACTGTAAGTTACTTATTTGTAGTCAAACATGACAAAAAAGGGCTTTCAGTGAGGTATTAATAGTGAATATAACTCCAATTTGTGCTTGGGTCGTCCTCATTTAGCCCCAGGTGTAGAACAACTGCAGCTTAGCCTAAATCTGATCTTAATTATGTTTGCCTGAAATTGAATTAACTTTAGGTCTTCTTCTGTATGACCTTATATTGATAATGACTTGAAAATGCTCTAATTAACTGCTTGGATTGGTGAAGTAGATTCTTCTTGGGCTCTATGTGGTTTAGTCTGATAGTCACCTCAAAATAGATTTTCTCATGGTTTATCATCATATACTTTGCTACGTGTGATTGAACATAATGCATCTTGTTTTAGACCTGAGCCTTATCCCACTGCAACCTATTTGAATTTTGTAGTTATGTAAATCACAAATTTACAATATGTACAAATGAACATACAAATACATGTGAAGAGAGCATTTACTCTTGGTGTGGTCAAGCTATTTCCTTTTTAGCTAATTCTCCTCTGTGAATGTTGAACTTGCTCGTTGCTTCACAAAAGAGCTGTATCGAAATATTTCTCTTAAGGTATTGTGTATTTGTCTGAGAGAGGAACTTTGTCTGTTTTAAGTTAAGTAGCACCATTTCAAATGAAAGAGATAGGATGAAGTACATTGTGAGCTGTATGATTAAAAAGAAGTTTCTTAGGATGGGATCTGTACCTATATTTGGGTCCAAGTTTTAACCTAATATTGAATCTTCTCCTTATAATATAAACAATAATAAATTAATTCTTTAAATATAACAGATTTATAATCCTGTTCTGATTTTAAGAGTTTAACCATGGTGCTTTGCCATCTTATATTTTGGCTGGGATGGTTTGAAACCCTTTTTTTTGGCTTAAGCCTCTCAAATGTGGCCATATGCCTTGGTATATTAAAAAGTGTTATGTTGTCACATTCTACAGCTTCTTGTTGAGATGATCATGATATAAAATTGTTATGCTACCACACTTAATACATGTACAAAAATTTTATTGTGGTACAGAACTGACTATGACAATATTCTAATACTTTTTTCAGGCAAAAAACTGGCAGAAGGCACTGGAGCTATACGAAAATATGAAGTCCATTAAACTGAACCCCACAGTTTCTATTATGAATGCATTACTTACTGCATTGTGTAAGTCCTCATTTTTTTTCAATACATTCAGAGTATGGCTGGAAGTCCTGTGTGCTTTGAAAAAAAAAAAATCATGTTATTGTTTTCCTTAATTATAAAATGAAGATTTCTTTTGAAGAAGGAAATATAGAAGCAGAATTCAGTTGAGTGTTAAAGAGTATATTTTCTTTCTTATCTAGATTTATGCATTAGAATGATTCTTTAACTTAGTATGAAGTGTGATTAATTATTAAATTGGAAGAAGTGTGGTGAATATCAATTTGGCACTATTTAGCGAACTGACTTTATGAGACATGGTTTATTGTGGTCCTGGTGATTCTCAAAATTTTATTGACAAAGATTTTTAAGTATGTTCTGATAAATTTGAAGCATCGATTTGTGACTGCAATTATGTGACATAAAATTTGAATAAGAAATGAAATTGCTTACAGGTGACGGGGATCAGTTACTAAAGGCAATGGAAATTCTATCAGAAATGAAGAGATTAGGGTTATGCCCAAATAGCATTACATACTCCATACTCTTAGTGGCAAGTGAAAAGTAAGTGAACTGGAGTTAGATTACTACAGTGATGATTGTTGATTTAATTTTTTATTTTCCTGATGAAGTCTTGAACTTCTGAGCATCAATTACATCTTTTGTAGAAAGGACGATGTAGATGTAGGCCTCATGCTTCTTTCTCAAGCCAAAGAAGATGGAATTACTCCTAACCTCATTATGTTTAAATGCGTGATTGGTAAGTTTTAGAAGTTTCTAATCGTTAGTTGTATGATTTTTCCCCCAAGAGTACTGAATGCTTCCATTCCATATATTTATGACATCTTAGTTACCATATTGTAGATACTGGACATTTTAAAGGAATTTCAGAAGATGAATACTTTCTGTGACAACTTTAGTTCTTTGTGATGATTGTGTTTTTATCTGTCATTACTCTTAATGTTAAAAAAAGATGCATAGTCTCATAAACTCTTGACTTTTGCTGGCACCATTTATAGGATGCCAAGTTCTAAACCCCTAATTTTACTCTATGGTACTGGGCTCACAGTCTTCTTGCTCTAGGAAGGGTATTATTGTTGAAGAATTTGAGAGGTTGAAGTAAAGATTAACATTATAATTATGTGATATGGTCACAAGATTGCCTTATCTTAAGAGTGACTTGATTGTTTCTGTTTTTGAAGGAATGGAGCACCATAATTTATAATTCTGTCTCATCTGAGACTGAGAGAGCTGAATGCTCGCACAACTTAATTGTTTATTCATTTTTCAAGTGAGATTAGCAACGTCTTAAATACTTCTTCTGGTTTCTTTGATTGGATTATTTAGAAGTTTGGATTTGGATTTCAATTTTGTGTCAAATTGTGTAAATGAAATATATAATTGTTTCAAAGTTTAAGAGTTAAACGAATACTGAGGGGAGACGAAAAAAAGAAGAAGTGTTCACTCCAAATCTATTGGAAAATGTACTTGAGATAACACCTTCCTATTAGGAATTCTATGGTATAATAACCGTTCAACTCATTGCTGGATTTCATTAAATGTAATTCTTGTAATTCTTCAAACAATCTCCAGATTTTTTAATGTAGCATTTAAAAGTTTACCTTATTCTCTGAGATTTTCAAGATTTAACTTCTCATGAGTCCGTTAGTTATTTGTTATATCTCTTTTTCACATTTGTTTATATGTTATTTGTTGTAGTTTTTTCTTGCTTGACTTTGATACTCTCTTTGTGCTTAAAAGAAAGTGGTTATAAATATTAATTTGCTTAAATGTTTTCAGGACTTTATAAATCTTGTTTTTAATGGGAGTTTGATGATTGTTGATAATTATTTTATCGTGATATCTTTGAAGGCATGTGCTTGCGGAGATTTGAGAAGGCTCATACCCTTGGTGAACATGTTTTGTCTTTCAATTCTGGACAACCACAGATTGAAAATAAATGGTACCTTTTTTTGCTACAGCAGTTATTCTGTTGACATGCTTTTCTATTGCAAGAAATTGAAAACAGTTCATAAATAGTTGTGCTCATTGTAAGTGATCTTGGGCTGCATATTGCCACAAAAGAAATGCCTTGTTCCTTTTTTTTTTTTTTTATATTAAATTAATAGCCATTCCTGCAAATTTTCTAATTTCAGTTTTTCCCTGCAAATAGTTTAAAACTTCAGAAGATTGGCTTTGTTCAAATACTCTTCAATTAATCTCCATTCTTTTTTATTTTTTTGAAAATTTAAGAGGTTTCTTCTTATTCATGGATATAAAGTATTAAATTATCTCTAATCTCCTCCACTTTTCTTCAGGACGTTGTTGGCCTTGATGGTCTACCGTGAAGCAATTGTATCTGGTACAACACCAACTTCAGAGGTTGTTTCACAAGTTTTGAGATGCTTGCAGCTCCCTTATGGCGCAAAAGATAAACTGGTTGAAAATCTGGGAGTTAGTGCTTACTCATCAAAATCGTCAAAACTCTATTCATTGATAGATGGATTTGGGGAGTATGATCCTCGTGCTTTCTCGTTACTTGAGGTCAGAAATGGCTAAAATTAAAAATTTCTTTCTATATTTAAGGTAAAGTAAGGTTAAATCATTCTAGATTTTTATGAATTGATAGGAAGCTGCTTCCCTTGGAATTGTTCCTTGTGTATCCTTCAAAGAAAGTCCTATTGTTGTTGATGCAAAAAAGCTGCAGATTCATACTGCTGAGGTGAGCTTGTCTATCTAGCATTTGACAATTTACTAATAGTGTGCTGATAGTTGTTCTTATACGAATTTTCTTTATTATGTTAAGGTTGTTTTCTTGTGCCTTAATTGAAAGTGTTTTACATACACTAATTGACAGTGTTTACATCTGTACTAGTTCTTACTAATTTCCTTCCACGAACTTCTTAAAAATTTCAATTGTTTAACCTTTTGTGAATGTGTGGGATTTTTCTGGATTTCATTTTCTTCATATGTCACTTTCTTTTTTCCATTTTCGGCTCAGATGGATTCCTTATCTTCATTTGTGTTATTACTCATCATTATTTTATTTTGTTTATAAGATAACATCTACTGATTGGCATGAATACCTGCAAATTAAATTAAAAAAAAAAAAAAAAAAATGAAATATACGGTTCTCATCAGTCTCTGCTGCTGTGGAGCAGATAAATGCTACTGGGTTCAGGATTTCATTATACTTACAATCTTCCTTTCTTTTTGTAACTAAAATTTGCCAGGTGTACCTATTAACTGTTTTGAAAGGTCTCAAGCATCGGCTTGCCGCTGGTAACATTTTACTGCATTGCTTTTTGCTCCTCATCTGATATTTTCCTGTATCCCTTTCTACACTAACAATCTAATCATTCAGTGACCACAATAATATATATATATATATATATATATATATAATTCAGAGTTAAAGGAATGCTAGCAAATGATAACTTGAACTTAATTACTTTAATGTCTGATTTCTGTTGATAATTCTTCCCACCTTGAGTTTTGACAGGTGTGAAACTACCCAATATAACCATTTTACTGCCGGTGGAGAAGACAGAAATCATGTCCTTGAAAGGGGAGAAAACAATCAATCTTGCAGAAAGGTGAGAAAAGCTTCTTTAATGAGTTCAATATGCAATTATATTCCTATCTTTCTTCCCCCATCTAAGGTACTGTATTGTTGATAACATGGCTAGTATGGCTCTTCTGATATATTTTGTCAATTTACTTTTTCTGAGATATAAACAAATTTGAGCTTTTACCAAGCCATACAAACGTGCTGTTTGGGTGGGTAAACCTAAACAGTGTTAAAAACATGATATGTCCTTCAACTTTGAAAGACCAAATGTGTTGCCATGATGCTATTGTAACATCCAGATGATCAAACTGAACCAGCAAGATGTGGAAATGCATATGCATTTCTTATATTGTGCCAGTTCAGCATCCATTTCTGAAGCTCAAATTTTATGTTGTTTAAGACCCAAATTTACACTATTCTTGGCAATTTACCACAAAGGGCTATTTTAGATGTAGTCAGTCCCAAATAGTAGAGTGATGATTTGTAGGAATTCATTTGATGATGTGGACATCTTTCTCAAGAATTTGGTAAGTGAATTAGACCCACATTTAATTTACGGTTTTTCCGGAGTTCATTTATCAATAACTTTAGTTGTCTGGTGCTTTAGCATAGTGGTAGCTCTCTAGACTGAAGTATCATCCGTTTATTTAACCAAAGGAAAAAAGAACTTGGTGGTGGATTTGTGCTTGTGAAAAAGAAGCAACTATGCTGATAGGAACTCAATGAAAAACAGTAATTGAAACAGTCCCTACAATTCCACATACACCAACACACAATAACTAGAACAATTATGAGAATTGTGTTGACATGAAAAAGAGAAGATGCAAGAACATTCAGAAAAGAAATAAAGCGAAAAAAGATAGATGCTAGTGATTCGAGGTACTAGCAGCCTCCCAACATATTCCAAAGAAACAACCTGCCCATTTCAAGATAATACCCCCCGTTTTATACCCAAAGGTAGTCACACTAATATTGCCTTGAAGCCACGTAGACTATCCTCTAACTAACTCTCATTAGCCTGTATGTCCACTAATACCCCTCGTCCTCTTCTTTAAGTAAATCTTGGAAATGGGTGGTCTAACATATGCTAACTAGGTAACTGGGACACAGATCTAATATGACTTTCCACCATATCAATTCTGTGTTTGCAGCATTGCTCTTTCACCCTTTAATTTGTACTCGAGTAAAATTGAAGGTTGCACTTGAACTCTTAATCTCTTCTTTTGCACTGTGTGCATCAATAAGAATGAATGATGTAATTGATTTTGAATTTCAATATTTTTGTTGACTACAGGACCGGCCAGGCAATTACAGCATTACTGAGAAGGCTAGGTCTAACTTACCAAGGGAAGGAATCATATGGAAAAATTAGAATCAATGGGCTTGCCTTAAGAAGATGGTTCCAGCCGAAGCTTTCTTCTCCTTTCAGTGGAAAACCAGGGGAGCTAAGCTCATTACAATTGGGAAAAGGAATTGCTCATCAGCAGCGCAATATTCGAACCAGTAATCTCTCTTTGGAGTAAAGAAAGAAATATCTTTTGGCTTCCAGCAGGAAGACTGGGAACATAGTGGATGATGCACTTTTTCAAATGTGAGCCGGTGTTCTGCCCCAAGTTCAACTTGCATCCCCATAGTATCCTTCAAAAAATTGTAAATGGATGAAGACAATTTTTTCTTACTATAAACTTGGTGGAAGCATGGTATGGGAGGAAGAGAAAAAATATGAATACAGCTTTGGATCTCGTAGCTATCTCAGGTAACGAGAAGAGCCACATTCATATTCCACTTTGGAAAGTATAATAAATCACAAGTTCACAACCATCTTCCATGCTGGAAACTTCAGGTGCAAATGTTTCCCCTGTTTTATGGAATTTGTATTACATTATTAGAATGTATAATGTTGAATACCACTTTTATGAGCTATAAATTGAGAGTATGTTTATAGTGTTGAGTAGCTATTAATTACAGTTGCTATACAGCAACTAGAGTTATGTAAACTGCTTTTAAAATAATATAATGCTTGCAAATTGTCCAAAACACCACATTAAAGCAGGCACATATCCTAATTGGTAGTCTTGTGTTAGAAACAAAATTGGGTATTTGGACCAAGTTTTATGAAAGATTCACATGGCTTTGCCATTGCCAATTCAATAGATGGAGCATAAGCGAATGCATGTGATGCTGTTAGTGGTGTAGTGAAAATTGCAGTATGAAGTTCGTGACTTGTCACATTACAAGAAATTTGGTGTGCGTTTGGGTTTGCCCTCAAAATTTCTATCTAAAAAGACTCAATATTAATTCACTCCCTGTAATTTTAATATATGACGTCTATCCTAATCCTTTGTCATTACTCAGTGATATTTAAAACCATAACAGTAAATGTAATACTACATGGGATGTCAGTAATGTTTTTAAAATCACAGGGTATGAGTTTTTTCTTTTGATAAATGTCGGATTCCAAATAATATTTTATCCTTCCAGATGGTTACACCTGAGATTTATCAAAAATCCAGCTACACTACACTTAAACATCACCAATACCAGGATAAAGTGGCAACTAATTTAACTAGCAATCTCAAAATCAGATGAATACTATCCACCAAACAAGCATAACTCTTTTCCTGTCAACTGTTAAAATTCTCAAAACTCCATTTCTTGTGAGGTTTTAGCACTACTGTTAAACTGTAGAACAGAGCTAGTAGGCTTTACAATTTGTACTTTTCACTGTTCATTCTGGGTTCTGTTAAGTGTTTTCTTTGACTTTATATATAAGCATAGTCTTGAAAAATTGCTTGTTATAGGTCAATTAGCTAAATGGACAGTCATTCTTGTTTGTTAGATTGCTTGATTATTCGTTGTTTAGAAGGACTATACTAATTCTTGTGGCTAAGGTTTGTCCATAAGACAAGGAACTTGCAGTTTACATTACTATCTTCACGCACTACTCAATAAACCAGAAGTTTAAAGATGAAGATGCCAAATATTTGATAAGCAAGAACTTACATTTATTTGTCAAAGATGTTTGGTGGGAGAGCTAATATTAATCTCTCAGCCCACACACAGAGTATTAGGAAAAAAAAAAAAATTATACACATGGTTAGTACAAACTTTCCAACTCCACCAGGAGGAAAAAAAATTAAAAAAAAAAAAGAAAAGAAATCCTGCCAAAACTTGCCATTATTTTCTTCTTTCACAAGGCATTCAATTTAGAAGTAACTTTAATAAAGGCATCTTCTTTGCATGGAATTGTTAGGCCTCCCATTGGATGATTGAATCCATATTCTTCCTCTGCTTGGTTAAGTAAGCCTACAAATGAAGGATGGTTCAAGTAAGATATTGGAACCACAAACCGTTTCTTTTGAAGCTCTCCAACATAAACTGCAACATGCCCTTTTGGTACATCTCTTTGATTTTTAGTAAGTTTCAAAACTTGTTTGGCACCAAGAATCATGGATGGTAAACGAATACCCATCACCAAAACTGAAATGAAGTTGAATTTGGTTGATATTTTTAGAGTGAAGACTGAAGACTAAAGAAGCTGGAGCTTGAAGGCTTATCTGGTGGTGTATTAGTAGGGTTGTGAAATAGTGGAGTGCCATACTTTTCCAGTTAAAGCCAAATAGATGTGTGGTCAGGCTGCATAATTGGGCAGTTTGGCAACTCAGAAAGTGCACATGGCTTTGCTAAGATAGCTCATCATGAATTTTTTTTTTCTCTTTCTGTTTCTTTCTTATTTATCCGCTAATTTATGGTGCAGAAGCCCAACTTTTTTTTGTTTTGAAAATCATGCGTAGTCTAGAAACTTATCCAGCCTGGTGACTCAAAACCATATGCCGCACACTTTATGCTGCTTAAGAACATATACATGTGATGCTTATCTGGGTCGACAATTGCGGCCGAGAAGATGAAAATGCCAGCCTTGGACCCATTATTTCAAGCCCTGACAGATAGAAAATTGCAGGTTTTGACCTCCCAGTGTCATAATTCTTCTTATTAGACCAGACCCTACATGTCATTACAGTCTAAGAAAGGATGAAGATGATCTGTATATTTAGATAGTGTACTTGGGGTGACTAGGTACAACAGCCTGACTATATATTCCAATCTCATCACAATCTGAGTGTTGGATTTAGCGTTGAGCGCCTTCATCCTTGTCATCACTGGATAGCTTTACCCTTTCATATAACCTATTCTGACATTCATTTCACTACTAAACAGTCTCTTAACTAATATTTTCAGGTAAAATTTTGTAATTTTCGATCTGTAAATGGTATTTATCCTTGAGAATATTCTTATACAAGAAACTAAAGTTACCGGAAATATATGACCAACGTTTTTCAGCTGGATTATGTATATTATTTTGAGATTTATAATTAGCAGAATAGTTCTCTACTATTAATTATGAGTCCCATCTGCGGTTGGAAGTTGTCAATACAATGTATATATCCATATCAATGAAGTAATTTTTACAAAATATTCTAATCAGGATTCTGTAGGACCATATTTGAGTTCTTCAACGAATAATTTGTAGAATCAAACTCACTAGTTTTTGCAGAAATGTTAAATCTTCAAAGTTTTATTTCCATGTTTCTTATTCAAAGTTTATTCTTCAAATTTTCTTCTACTTCTTAAAATTGAGAAACTTCGGTCTAATTAAATTATCTTTTATCCAATATGAAAATATGAAGTGGAAAATAGTCCATAAACAAGTTGAAGAAATATTAACGTACCTTAGTTAAAGAACCAGGATTGAGTAAAGAAAGAACCTCATTTCTATTGATTTACAGAGGGAGAGAGAGAATTTTATCTTTCTCCACCCACTTGCATGTGGAAAAATTTACACATGGTTATACTACAACTCGATCTTCTAATCTAGCCAAAGTTATAACAAAAAGGAAGAAATATATAGGTCAAAATTTTGGAGGACTTTAAGTTGTTCATTGTTCTTCATGAGGCATAACATAACCGAGAAGTGAGATCAATGAAAGCATCTTCTTTGCATGGAATGGTGAGGCCACCCATTGGATGATTGAAGCCAAACTCTTCCTCTGCTCGGTGTAACAAATCAAGGAATAAAGGGTGATTCAAGTAAGATATTGGAACCACAAATCTCTTCATTTGTAACTCTCCAACATAAACTGCAATGTGGCCTTTGGGAACGTCTGGTTGATTTCTACTCGTAGTAGACTGCTTCTTCAGAATTTGTTTTGCATTTAGAATCATCGATGGCAAACGAATACCCATCTCAGGTTTTTAGTATTCAAATAAATGGATACTTTTTTTTTTATCTGAAAGCTTTGAGGTTGGAGTTAAGGCCTACAGTTGTTGTATATATGTATTTATAGAGTAAATAAAATTTAAGGGAAATGAGTTTATGTGGTCAGCAGAGTGGCAACTGGGTATCTTAAAAGGCCCCACTTTCTTGCAGGCTCACATGGCTTTGCTCATTCATGAGCTTATCTTATTGATTTCTTTATCTTATAATAAACCCACTTGTACCTTGAAGTCATCTTCACCAAATAATAAACCCACTTGTACCTTGAAGTCATCTTTCATATCACAACTCTCTTGTTCTCTATATTTATTTCTAGGAAAGGTTTGTCAGTAGTTCATCAGCTAGATAAAAAACAAGCAGCCGTACACTGAATTTTAAGGGCAACAGATTCATGTGATCGTGGAGTTGTAATGTGCTAGGTTAAGCAAACAAAGATATTGATTTGTGTTTCCTTGTTGGCACTCTATGCATATCAAACACATGTAAAGGAGAGACCTTTATCTCTAGGAAGATTTTCAACTTTCAAGAGATGATGTGATTCGTTATTATTTACAATATTCAATGTATTGAAAACATAATAATCAGTTTTTAAAAGACTCTTAACTCAAACAAGTATAAAAATAATCAAGTTTGATTTGATAATGAAATATGGCTCACATGGTATAAAATTTAGTCGTTTCGAGATTAATTATATTTGTGATATATTCCAACTTTGATACGTAGAATCAAACTCTTCATTTTTATATTGAAACAAATATACAAGTACTTGTTAAATATTCACACCCATATCTTCAGTCTAATTTAATAATTACTTAAGAGTTGTATTTCTCCACAAATTAAGGAAATGGGACAATATTGCCAGGTTGGTAAATGTGGTGGCAAGCAAGATCAGTAAGATGGCTATAGCAGATCTTCTGTGTACCTCCTGTACTTTTGTGCATTGAGATCTTCAAAAACTTGAAATAATTTAAAAGCAAATCATCAATGCACAATCCCAATCGAAGAAAAAGGAAATGACAATATCACGAAGTAGTAGGACTATTGGAGTGGAGGACAGATAAGAAAAACTATAAACTTATTAATTTGAAACAACTAGCTAGCAAGCAGTTGCGGCTGTTACTTGCCATGTTTCTGGGAAATAATTTCACTGATTGACTGACTGCCCAAATCTAAATATCTGACATTTTTTTGGGGTATGAATTTTACACTTATTAGATGCATTGACTCTTACGTCAGGATTTATGATCCTTTGATTGAAAACTTTGGATAATATAAATATATATATATATATATATATGCAAGTTGAGAATTAATAGCGGTTCTGTGAGTCTTTAATTAGATAGTTCTGCAGCTGTAGGAGTATGGGCGCAACAAAGAACAAGAAAATGGCAGTAATATTACTAGTAGTTCAAAGTTCATGATAAGAAAGAGAAACCCATGAATCTTGATGAATTCTCGGATCTAGAGCAACTAACCACTCATTGATCAATGCATGCAAAAAACTGACATTACGAACATGCTCAGAGATGTGAAAACAGTGGGCGGATTTGGATTTGCTAAATGTAGTATATTTATATACTATAGTTTTTTGGATTTTCATTGGACCACCTAAGTCCAAGTTGCCCTTGTGGATGTTTCAGAGAGTCATTGCACACACTCCAATTACTTGTTTAATAAATAGGACAACCTACATGTTGCGAGCTTGATAATTTCTCTACTCCTATATAAATCCATTTCAGAATTGTCAATTTCAATTATATATTTTTAACACATATAATAAGAATATATCCAGAAATGGGGATTCGAGTGACTGAGATGGTTCATCATGCAAGGCAAATTATTCGAAGACGGTCTTCATCATCTAAGCAGCAGCAATTGTCACACCAAACCTCAAGTTCATTAGATGTCCCAAAAGGCCATTTCGCGGTTTATGTGGGAAAGCAAGAAGAAAAAACCAAACGTTTTGTGGTGCCAATAACATACTTAAAGCATCCTCTATTTCAGGCCTTGTTGAGTGAGGCTGAAGAAGAGTTTGGTTTTGATCATAAAATGCAGGGTCTCACAATTCCTTGTGCTGAAGATGTGTTTATCAATCTCACTTCTCAGTTGAGTAATGGTTCTTCATGATCATCAAATAAAAGTATATAGTTAATTAGCTAATAGCAAGGTTAATATATATTAACGTACTGATATATAATGTTATCATTTTTGAAGTTCAGTTGAGGGCCTAAGGCAAACTGAGATTTGTAAATTTACGGGGGACTGAATAATTACGGGTCCAAGATATATATATATGTGTGTGTGTGTGTGTGTGTTTGTCTCAGTCGAGGTTTTGCTTCGAGTGCTTAATCTTCACTGTATTTTTTCATTCTCCTTGTTAATAATATTCTGGAGCTTCCTAGAGAGCAAATATTCTGCTAACATATATATGAGGAAAATTTTATAAAATATATATCATGCACGGTATGTTATTGATGGAATATAGAAGTAAATCATGCAAATATGGAAGGAAGATTGCTGGAATTAAGCAACCTGGAATCAAGCAAATTGACATGATTTCCAGGAGTAACATCAGCAAATCCTTTACTGTCAAATATTCTATCTTTATAACTCTGATTACATCCCCTGTATAGCTTTACATTTTCTGTATAAATTGACTCAATCATGTAAACTCAATACACAAGAAATATACATAATTTTTCTCTCTTTTCTGGCATTCTTCAGCAACTTTGTTTGCCTCTTTTGCCACTCCTGCTCATATTTTAACAGTTATCTACAATTAAGAAAGTTGGACAAATTACTTATGTCAGTGGATAGAGACAAAGATCATGTGTTCTGCAAAACATAATTAATAGTTTCACCAACATTTTTCTAAAGTTTTTTATATATATTTATGGTAATTAGCTTAATGCGGTAATATAAACTGTTTGTTTGAATCTTTTTTTTACTTCAAATAATCCAAGTTGGGCAAACAAATAGCAAGCGCTGAGTTTGAAGGTGAAAGCCGACAAGTTTTGGTGGAAGTAGGTGAGGCAGAGGCAGTCTCTACGGAGTCCGAGAACGGGAACCAATGCTTAATTTCTAGCATCGTAACTGTTTTATGACAGAGGAGGGTGTAGCCAGATTCATGAACAAGCATGAGAGCAAACATGTAGAAGAGTTGTTAAGTAAGATATATGGAATATTATATCCCTCTATATTAATACAAAAATTCTCAGTTACAGAGTTTAAATCTGGACAATATCTTGTCTCGCACGTAAAAATTAACGAAGGTATGCATAGGCATAGCAGGGAGTTTTCAAGTCCCGTGCTGCGATTTTGAAAGTGAAAGCTTTGACCTACTCCTGCTCTGTAATTGAATGAGATTTTGACTTGTGTACGATTCATCCATTCCATTGTAGCAAAGGGAAATGTCGCCGCCGCCTCGGTACTCAGTAGACGCTTAAGTACTTGGTAGGCAGGCTTACTGCCACTTCATTCATATGTATGGTCAATGAAAAAGTTACACTTATAAAATGATCCGATATACTTTTTTACTAAAATAAATTCTTATTGTTCTTTTAAAATTAATTTGATTTGACGTATTGCTTGTCTTTTTATGAAATGTGCAATAGCTTTATAAACTATGTTTATATTAAATGGAGTCTATTCATGATAAGAAAGAATATTGATAACATATATATTATTGCAAGCAGTTTCACTATATACAAATTACATTAATTAATAGTTTATTACATGGGGTATTTGAATATTTGAGTCGATGCCGCATACAAAACTGAAGAGACTGGCTCTTAAATTGTCTCAAATTTATATATGTTCAACTCATCAAGGAGAAGATAATAATAATTAATGAAGCAAACAAGTGAATCGATCATATGGCAAGAATAATGTACTGTGATGATGATGAAGCCACCATTTATGAACAATTCAAGGCTGAAGTTAGAGTGATGAAGTAATGTTCACTACATGGAATTGTGAGACCGCCCATTGGATGATCGAATCCGAATTCTTCCTCGGCCAAGTTTAGTAGATCCTGAAATAGAGGATGGTTCAAGTATGATATGGGAATCACAAATCTCTTCTTGTAGCTTTCTCCAACATAAATTGCGATGTGGCCTTTTGGAACATTGCTACTACTATTGCTTGATGCCATTCTGATTTTGGCTGAAAGTGTTCTCTGAAGTCTTTGCTTGGCATGAGCTAACCCCATCAATTGAATACCCATCTTGGAAAAGAAAACTCTTTGATTGACGAGACTGATGATGGATGGATGAAGATTTTGGGTTGAAATGGTATCTTTACTAACCAGCTATTTATAGGGGCAGATGTTAAATAACCTTAGCTTGGAATTGGATAGGATAATGAGAGGTGAGTGAAGAATCTTGAAAAAACATATCAGGTGAAAGAATTGGTTATATTTCACATGCTTTTGCCCTGTCTATGGTAAAGCATTATGCCCTACCACTCCTTTAGAAACAGAAGAAAGAGAGGTGCAACTTGTGATTTTGTATAAGGATATTGGTCCTGTGTCTTTTGAACTAATTATAAACCACTTACCTTTTGATGCTCAGCATGTTCTTGGCATCAAATTAAGACTTGTCTTCATCAAATAGATCTTCATATACATTTTGCTCATTTGGAGAAGCATTGAACTTAGACCTTGTCATCTTTCTGCCAACCAAACATTTTGGGTTACTCTGATGACTCTCTAGGTCCTCCACCTAGGTCTCAATTGTGGACTGCCTGCTTTGTATCAGCAAAGTGTTACTGCTTAGTCTTAAATCTCTATACTCTGGCTATGACTAATGACTATCGACTAAGATATATGCAATAGGAGTCAGACTACTTATGAGTACTTTCGTCAAGTCCTTAATTTAGTTAGTTACAGAAAAAGGTTTTTTTTTTCTTCATGCTGCATTGATTTTGACAATTCAAGTGATGATTCAGTGGATGTGAAGGAATTTTATTTATTTAATTAGAGTTCATGAGAAGTATAATATATAGAAAACAAGAAAGTAGATGTATTTCCATCTTGAACGCAACTCTCTGCGAACTTTGCTCTGGCTGCAATTAATCAATTAGGATAATTGAGGTCAAATATCATATTTATTTAGTCCCATCAAGATGTTTCTTGAATGTTCCTGGACACATATTGTGATTCAAATCAGAAAAGCAGTTCACAATCTGAAATTCTTAGGAAACCACCAAGTTCAACTCCCATGATTTTCTTTGCTATTGTCCTGCATTTCATGATAGCTGATTGTGTGTGGATATGGTCTATTGATTTAGTTGGTCCAAAAAGTTGATCATTCTTTAGCAAAGGCATGGCCTAATAAATTTTTGGTCAATCAGGGTCAAACTAGCTGCAGTACAGAAAAGTTTCTCAATTCATATGCCAGGTTTTTTTTCAGCTTCCTTCCAATCAATCATCAATTCAGATTAAGGCCACGTTCATATAATTATCCTCTCCTTCCCAAAGCATCTTCACATGAATGCATTACATCTTGTATTTTTCTCGTATTGGTAGGGTCATATCACATAGTACTAGTGTCCTTTGTGTTTGTCTGATTAGAAACTTGAATAAATTTGTGCTATTACCATTCATGTTGAGCTAAAAGAATATGCATATCTATCACAACTTCATATATAGTTGGAGGCAAAACCATGTGATTTCTCATGCCTTATGTCCTTAAATATACCCCATTGCACCTGTCACTTCACTTTACCACTTAATTAGTGTTTCTGATATTGCTGTCCACAAGAGTTTTTGGTTCATATATAAACCGCTTTCATGGACAATCCCACTCCACTGCAAAATATTTTTTGACTTTAAAAGGATTAAAGACTCCACTGCAAAATAATTTTTGGTTCAGTGCATTCTTTCGTCTAGTGATGTGCCCAAAGGCTCCCTTACTGTTTACATTGGAGGAACTCAAAAGAAGAGATTTGTTGTTCCCATTACATACTTGAAGCATCTTTCATTCCAGGACTTGTTGAGTCAAGCTGAAGCAGACTTTGGGATAAATCATCCAATGAGTAGTCTTACCATTCCATGTAGTGAGAAAGCCTTCATTGATCTTATTTGCAGTTTGTAGACTTCACAAGAAACTATGTTAAAGATGTAAAAAACAGACAGCAATAGTAACCCACTAACCAATTTTGCTGGTTGCATTCGGAGTAGGGCATGATTCAAGTGTATTTTATATGACAAATCACATGTCTCTGTCTTTCTTACTTAACCAGAATCCAAACAACATATATGTTGCAACAGAGAATGCCCTAAATGATCAAGTTCACTTGCCTGCTGACAAGGAACAAAACTTTGGACCAGAGACAGGATAAGTATCATTTTTTTTTCCAAGTATTTGGAAATTCTAATAAACTGGCTCAGAATACACTCAGAATGTAATTTGTTAATTGGAATAATAAGCATTTATGATAGTCTTACACTCAGCAAACGATGTTTGATAAAAAAAATCAATGACATGGGACATAGCAAAGCAACAAATGTGGTTGGCTTAGAATATAAATAGCCATTGGCTCCTTATACTCCCTTCGTTTCTAAATAAATGATGCTTTAGCTAATTACATACTTTTTTATGCACTGATTTTTTTAATGTAAACAAAAAGAGAGAGGAGGCGTGGGCATACAAAAAAGTGGAGAGAGAAGAGGCGTGGGCATACAAAAAAGTGGAGAGAGAAGATTGAGGCAGACATGCAGAGCAAAGAAAGAGAAAGAGAAGAGATGTGGGCCATCGCAAAATTGGGAGAATAGAAATATCAGACAACTGAGATAAGACAAGCGACACTTATTTAGAAAAAAAATTATACCCTCAAAATGACACTTAAAAAAAAACGGAGGGAGTATATGTTAGTGAATAGCGTTTCATCTGTTGGTGTTGTCATAATCTAGGTGGGAGTGGGAGGCAAAAACATGTACATTTGTCCTTGAAAATTCCATTATTTTCGTTTTGTACATATGTATATACTTCAGTGGTTAGTCACCCATTGCCAATGTTCTCCTTCACAAATCCTTGCAAAATTCATAACAATTCATAGTAAAGGGGTCCCTGAAAAGATGATACCATAGATATGACCGCAACTCCTTTGAATACAAATTTTGAATTTGAACAGAAAGAGATCGTTTTGCTGCAATCCAATAAGTAAACAATAGAATTTTATCAAGTCTCTTCTGTTTCCATTTTGCTGCATCATTTATTTTCTTTGTCAAAAACATTACAGCAGGGACAGGGTTGATTTATAATAATCAAAATATGAATGTGTTTAATTATTTCATAAACCAAATTACTTTATTGAATTTCTTGTATACCTAAAAGTGTCGAAGCCCCAAGGGTAGAGATGGGCTGGGTTTCGCTTCCTCCACACAAGCTTCCCATTTTTCCCAGCCCAACAATTAAAGGAAACACTAAAAGGAAGGATAAGTGGGTGATCTGGGCCAAAACCAAAGCCCAAATTGTAAGTAAAGGAGAATATCGATCAGAGAGTGATAATAGCAGCAAATGTTAACCCCATTTTCTCGCAAACTACTACTCAGATCTCTCTGTATCCCTATCAGCTGCGCCTTCTCCTTTGACCATAAACTCGAAGATCCACCTACTTGTCTTGTCTCATCTCGTGAGTTCTCTTGTTCTTTTGTGTTTTCTCTTTCTTTTTATGTTCTTCGATCTGCTTTCCGTTTGGGTTTCTGTTTTTTTTATCAAAAGAAACTCGCTATTATGTTAATGTGAATATCATGTGTGTTAATATCTTTATGCTCTCTCTTTTTTTTTTTACTTGTTTTTTTGTATTTTGTTGTTATCATTGGATTTTATGTAATTTGATTACATTTTGTAACTCTTTTTGCGTGTTATAATGTTTTAGAAATTTAATTATTGGAATTTTTTTTTTTTTTAATTCTGTGTTTTTATTATGAACGCCACAATCTGGAACTTAGAATCTTCTTGACCGGCAATAGAACCCTTGACAGAGAGTTTAGAATAGTTTATTGATTCAACAGTATTCTTCCTGATGATGCAGACTGGGTAAATTGATTTTTAACGTGCTGCCTATCTAACCTTGCCTTTTGAAGCCATTTCGATGCTTGAATGTAAAACTTTAAGTAAATGGGAGCAATGCTGCCGCATAGTTCTGTGCTGCAAGTATGGTGCTTTTAATTTTTTCACTTGGGTGTAGTATACATGTAGTGCTATAAGGTAGTATCTCTCACCATAGAGTGAGCAATGTTTATCCACCCACATATATTGGGGTAATGACATCACATTTTCTAAACAAATTGTATAACTAAGTTTTGAATTGACCATCACTGCATATTCAACAACTAATATTACATTTGGAATATAAAATTAATTCATCTTGGGAATGGCATATTTTAGAGGTAATTTCATGCATTCAAAGTGCATTAATTTAATTGTCTACAACTTTTATTATTTTAGAAAATGGCCATTTATCCTAAGCTTAAAAGAATAAATGGTTTGAAAAATTGTGTTGTAATCTGTGTGTATGAATATATATTTTTCTGATTCACTTAATACTGCGCTGCATTTTGAGCTTCTTTAGATCTTGGATTTTTGTTTTGTCTATCCTTGTTGGAATGATTTTGTAATTCTTTTTTTTCTTGTCACAGTGAACTAATTGATATATATATATATTTGTTGAAATGGCTGGAGGAGGAGTTATCCACCAGCTCCTAAGGAGGAGACTTCAGTCTCACTCTGCTGTAAGTGCAGTTCCTCCTTTTACGTGTGTTCTAATATATCATGTCTGGAAATCAACTGAAGTGTTTTAGTTTATATTATATCACCTGATTGAATAATGAATGATATTGTGGTAAAATGTTTGAGATTGTTTCCAACTTCAAGTAGTGCTTCTCGATCATGTATGGGGGACAGTGGCGTTATTTGATTGGACCTTTATACTTGGCTGCTAGGTAGAATATATAATTAGTGGTTGGTTCTATACCTAATAGTTTATGCATGTGATCTTGCAGGGGTTACCCACTTTATCCTTTTTTTCTTCTAAGAAATTTCATGAAGATGCTGGATCTGTGGGTATGAAGTCCCTAAAGACATTTGCACTCCTTGGCGCTGGTGTTTCAGGGTTTTTGAGTTTTGCAACAATAGCATCTGCTGATGAAGCTGAACATGGCTTGGCATGTCCAAACTATCCCTGGCCTCATGAAGGCATTCTTAGTTCATATGACCATGCTTCGTGAGTTTATGGCCTCCTTTTTTAATTGTAAAATTCATTGGTGAACTTGCAAATTTAAGTTGACTTGTAAAGTTCTAGTTTAATGGAACCTGATTGAGTATCACTTTTTTCTTGTTCCCTAATAGTTATATTTACCATTAATTAAGTTATATATCTTTATGCTATCTCCAATATCAGGGTTCATATTAAGTTTAGCCTTACTCTTTTGCTTGTAGTGACTGTAAGTGAGAATGTTTTCTTTTATTCTTCTAGTTTAAACGTTGTTTGAAAGACATTCTGGTGGTGTTAAAAAATTGCATGGCACTACATGTACTGTACTTGTAGCTGTTGTTACTCCACGCTATGGGTGAAAGGGAAACATTCAATATATATTTTTAGACAACAAGCTGGCTGTTCTGCATCATTTAAATTCAGAGGCTGCTTAGCTCTTCAAATTTATCTATATAGAATCTTTCATCAGATAGTGATATTATTTGTTCCTTAGTTGCTAGTAATATCTAGTTTGACGGTGCTACATGTCGCAATTTTTGTGATCAAATTTTAATGTACAGGGTTCGGCGTGGTCACCAGGTTTACCAGCAAGTATGTGCATCCTGCCATTCTATGTCACTAATATCATACCGTGATTTGGTGGGAGTTGCATATACAGAAGAGGAAACAAAGGCAATGGCAGCTGAGATTGAGGTGGTTGATGGACCTAATGATGAGGGTGAGATGTTTACACGTCCTGGTAAACTCAGTGATCGTTTTCCTCAGCCATATGCCAATGAACAAGCTGCTAGGTTTGCAAATGGAGGGGCATATCCGCCAGATTTGAGTCTTATTACCAAAGTAATTACTGTCTTCTGGTATTTGACAATAAAAGCTGTAATTTCCTATCCAGGAAAAATCTTACTCTTTTTCCTTCCAGGCTCGTCATAATGGTCAGAATTATGTGTTTGCTCTTTTAACTGGTTACCGTGATCCTCCTGCTGGTGTTACGGTAAATTCTGCTTTCAAGTCTCTTTAACTCCCTGCTTCCATGATTGGCGTGTGGCATTTAAGTTATGCTTTTGTGGAATTCTCCATATGTTATCATAAGTATAGACATGGTTGACTGTAATGGTACAAGGGGAACCAAAAACAAAGATGTGTTAAAGCTGGCAGGAATTTGGCCTGCTCTTACTTCTTTTCTTTTTTTTTTTTTCCACTAAAGTTATCTTTCTATTGGTTCTGTCTTTCATAATAGCTCTTTGAGATGTTATGAGGTTGGCTGGCCTGGACCACCAGTCATTTTTTCCAGCTGATATATTAAGCTCACTCCTCTGACACAGCCATAGAAAATTTCTTCTCAAGCAATATATATATATATTTATTTTTTCATTTGAGAAGTCTTTGGATTTTTGAGCTTTCAAGAGGAGTTTTTTTAGCTGCTGACCCGATTAATATAAAGCACACTATTGCTCAGTTGGCTGTTCTTTTTTGCTCTCTTGTTTGTTACAATACTCTTTTGGGCTGTTTTCTTTCTTTCTATCTTTTTTGGGTAATTTCCAATCTGCCTTGATTATAATGGTGTGCTGTCAAACTTAAAGGTGTTTAGGTCTTGTCATTAAACTATGTGCTTATATCTTGTCATAAAACTATGTATTTAACAGTGGAGTGCTACTAAATATCATCTAATGTATTTATTGAGGTTGCATCTTCTTTGCAGTTGAGGTTATGACTTGTATTTTTGATAAAATAGATGATAATGATTGTTTCACTTCCTAACTACAATCTATTTACAATTGCTATTGTAGATTAGAGAAGGATTGCACTATAATCCTTACTTCCCGGGGGGAGCCATTGCTATGCCTAAAATGCTTATTGATGGTGCCATCGAGTATGAAGATGGTACCCCTGCAACTGAATCTCAGGTTGGTTTTTCTTCTAAGATGTAATGCCTTAGGTTTTGGTGGAGATTCTTAGCTGTAAGCTTACTATATAGATGTTTCTGTGGTACAAAGCTCAGTCTTCTACCCTTGTTATTGTGATGCAGATGGGAAAAGATGTTGTGTCATTTTTAACATGGGCAGCAGAACCAGAAATGGAAGAGAGGAAGCTGGTACATTTGTTTTTAAATCAAGTTACCATCAAAAAAACATTATTTAATATTGAGTTATTCTTAAAATTTTATGCCTTCTAATGCAGATGGGTTTTAAATGGATATTTGTACTGTCATTGGCATTGCTTCAAGCTGCTTATTACCGGCGCTTGAGGTGGTCAGTTCTCAAGTCCCGCAAGCTGGTCCTTGATGTTGTCAACTAGCATCCCTCCAGTTTCTGTTACTTTTTTGTTTCTGGGTGGACCTGAATTGGAAATAATTGCTTTGTTAGATATGTCAAATTGGTGGATCAATTATTTTTGGCAATGGAGTGACCTGAAGAATTTTTTTCTTTTTTCCAAGTTGAGGAAGAAATAAGCTACTCCGTATACATGATAAACTATTTTTTGTTAGATTCCCAACGAGTGCTATGCTTGTGGCTGAATTACTGGTGTCACAACTCATAATTTGTTGCTTCAATGGGATTTGCAAATGCATTCATTGAAACAAGTAGGGAAACAATGGTCATTGGTCAATAATGTATTTTATTTTGGAGAAATGTCCTTTGACCACATTCTGGCTGGTACTTTTTCTGCTGATGAAATCAGTGTTTGACTTTTATATTGTAACTGTCAGAAGTTAATCACTTCATGGATGTTATAGTTAATCGGTCTGAGTTATTCAATCATGCTCAAGATGTAAGTACTAAGCTTCAGGAAGCTTTAACCATGCCAATTTGCATTCTTTGTGTGTTCTTACTATTGGCATCATCAAGGTTTGGGCATTTTGCTAAGTCTTTCATGGTCTGTCTGATCTCAATATTTGTTGATAAGATTATATTACCCGAAAGCACTGACTTCTGTCTTCTAATAACAAAGATATGTAAAAAATTTGTGGCTCGTCTTGAATGAGATGTCAACATTCCGATATTTTGTAATTTCGGTTATGTTCCTGCAACTGAACATAACTAGGATTTTCGTCATTGGCATGCTTGTTTTCAAGTTTGGATGGATGCCGTTCTCACCATCAAATACTCATGTGACGTCTAAACACTAGGAAGGGAGGAGGTTCAATATCTCAAGCACGTTTAATACGAGCAATTAGCTATTCCTATTTACTGTTTCTTAAAATTAACAATGAGCTTCTCTATCCACATAAAATTTTCAGTTTATTTCACAGATGTGGTAGGGCAATTTCATCAAACTTCCTGAAATTTTGGTAATGAGTTGCTAGACAAAATCATGTGATCCTTCATGAGGTAATATTTTTCCATTGAAAATGCCTCCGCACCACTCACTCACACTTCATGATGAAAATGTATCTTCTTGTTTTCCAAGTCATTTTTCATCCATTTTTAGTTTTCATATAAACAAAAAAATGGGTTCCCGTTTGCCTGGTGTTGCTGAAGCTAAAAAAATTTCTTTGGACCGGAGGTCAATCAATTACAAGATCAGCAGCAGATGTTCCGAAAGGCTACCTTGCAGTTTATGTTGGAGAAGAACAAAGAAAGAGATTTGTGATTCCAGTGTCATACTTGAATCAATCTTCATTCCAACACTTGTTAAATCAAGTTGAAGAATTCAGATTTGACCATCCAATGGGAGTTGTCACAATTCCCTGCAGAGAAGACATATTCATCGATCTGATTTCTCGCATGGATGGTCAATGAGAAATGTAAACACAATTTTGTAGAAACATATTCCCTCTGTTTCGAAATAAAAGTCGTTTTTAGTCATTACACGTTTTTTAATAAACTAATTTTTTAATGTAAATTTTTTTTCTCTTTGGTCCTCTCTCTGAAAGTGCGTGGGAAATGGAACGAAGAAAAAGCAATGATGATTGATGGAAAAGTTGTGTTAAATGGCTTTTGAAAGAGAAAGAGAGAGAGGAGAACAGTGGTGAGGGAAAGAGAGAGAGGAGAGAGGGGCATACTTCGAGAAAGAGAGAGAGAAGGTTGCATTTGGCCAAACGACATTTATTTTGGAAAAAAATTATAAGGCTAAAACGACTTTTATTTTGAAACAGAGGGGATATATTATTGAATAGAAATTAGATAAAATGTTGTTGATTATTTGCTCATGAATTCTGATATGTTTACTGCAAATGGAAATCAATAGTCACTGCATGTACTTTTTCTTCTTAGTAAACAAACGGGCATAGCTCCTCAAGTATATCTACCAATTAGTCTTAATCTAATTACAGTTCATAAGGCAGATCTTCAACTACAAGAGGCACAAATTAACTTATCCACCTACTAAAAGGCCTCTTCTTTTTCCCTACTATGAGGCAAATTGGTATGATATAAGCTTATCTAGTTATTAAAATATACTTTACAATATTTGTCAGAAAGGCAGACAATTTGTTTATCATCAGTAAAACTGTGTCGTCTCAAGTTTAAACTGATATGTTAAATGCAATTTGTGCCAAAAAGTTGTTAATTTTGTTATTTACCTAAAGAAGCTGTGATAGAATCATATGAAGATAGCCATGNTATACTTTACAATATTTGTCAGAAAGGCAGACAATTTGTTTATCTTCAGTAAAACTATGTCGTCTCAAGTTTAAACTGATATGTTAAATGCAATTTGTGCCAAAAAGTTGTTAATTTTGTTATTTACCTAAAGAAGCTGTGATAGAATCATATTAAGATAGCCATGAGAAGTAAGCAATAAAAAGTTCTCAGATTGTTGAGAATCATCATTAATAAAATTATATATATCATTTCAATTCAACAAGTGAATTTAACGGTAATGAGCTAATTTGACCGAGTGAAAAGACACTATTTAAAGGAGAAAAGTATCTTGACATAACTATTAAAAGCTTGCTGAAAAATTACTAGTACTGTTTCATCCAGGCCACTTGATTGTTGTAACAATAACTAGGCCATAATGAGTTGCAATCTTTTAAGATCCTGTTGAAAACTTATTATTATATGGGAGGCAGAACCTGCTACTTGCTTGTGTCCTTCATCAAACCCCACTGCAATTATATTTACACCATTGAAACCCATTTCAGACTCTGAAGTTTTCCTCTATATATACTCTTACTTCAAAGTTCAGCTATTAATCATATTTTTCCAGCAATATTTTCAAAAGACTTCACAGTTTATAGTCATGGGTTTCCACTTGCCCAGAGTTATGACTACTAAACAGACTTTTAGGCGAAATCTTTTTTCTCCAGAGACGACTGTGCCCAAAGGTCACTTTGCTTTATATGTTGGAGAAACTGAATAGAAGAGATTCGTGGTTCCAGTTTCATACTTGAAACATCGTTCATTCCAGATTTTGCTGAGTCAGGCCGAAGAAGAATTTAAAAAAACCACTCTCAAAATCCTAAATATTTAAAAAAAAAAAAAAAAAAAAAAAAAAAAAAAACCATTTTCGAAACCCTAAATTTTTTATTAAAAAATCCATTCTCAAAACAATAAATTTTGTTTTTAAAAATCCATTCTGAAACGCTAAATTCCAAACAAAAATTCATTCTTGAAACCCTAAGTTTAAAAAGATCTATTCTCAGTACCCTAAATTTTGTTAAAAAATCCATTCTCGAAACCCTAAATTAATTTTAAAAAATCCATTCAAGAAACCCTAATTTTTTTTTAAATAAAATGAATTCTCAAAACCCTAAATATTTTTTAGGCAGTGGTAATTCACCTATGATAATATTGTTACAAGCTCGTAACGCAGACAAATATTCTATAAGTCAGGTCAAGATAACAAACTTACCAATCCAGTCAATGCATGAATAACTAACCATGACTCTTTCCAATATGAGAATGTTCAACACAAATCTAGATGCAAGCCAAAATTGAAATGTTGGCAAGTCACAATGTGGATTCCAATGGCATTCACTTTCAAAATTTTACTTAGTGGAGAACAAAATGACAACCAAACATATCAAAAAAATCACCCCAGGACACACGATAGACCATGATGCTTAACCTGCGCGTCATAGTATAGTTCAACACAAGCATTTAATTTAAAGAAATAAAAATCAATGTCGTCTGGCCATGCTGACTAATGCAACTCTTTCTTTAGTGTGGTAGACTAAATTGATTTCAAAATGGAAATGAAGTGATGATGTCAAACTGACCTTTGCATAATTAGGAACCAAACCATTGTACAATGCATCTATCATGCCAAAATTTTCTAGAGTGGCCTAGCTCCTTCCATCCCACCATCTACATTCTTTGACAAATGACGTCAAGAAGGTAAGTGATTGTTTGGCCAACAGCCCTACAAGCAAGTCTTGTCGTTACACTCAACTTAGAATCTTCAACTAGTCCAAAACGCATAGCTTTGATTTACCAACCAGCATTGTTTCTCGGAAGAAATTTAATATAAATCACAGTAACTCAATTCATACCACCAAGGAACAGTTGTAGAGGTGGTGTATAGAGGCAGTGCTAATTCACCTCAATTTTGCTGTTTTATGATAATACTGTTACAAGCTCATAGGGCATACAAATATTTTGTAGGCCAAGTCAAGATAACAAACTTGCAAATCCAATCAATGCATGAATAACTAACCATGACTCTTTCCAGTGGCATTCACTTTCAAAATTTTACTTAGTGGAGAACAAAATGAGCAATCAGACATATCAAAAAAAATACCCAACCAACCCAATTTTGTATATGCAAGACACACGATAAACTATGACGCTTAACCTACCCATCATAGTATAGTTCAACGCAAGCATTTTAATTTATAGAAACAAAAATCAATGTTATCTAGCCATGCTAACGTAATTGGGAACCAAACCATTGTATAATGCACCAAACCCCTCATGTCGAACAATTTTCTAGAATGCTTCAATCATGCCAGAATATTCTAGAGTGGCCTAGCTTCTTCCATTCCACCATCTGCATTCTTTGACAAATGACCTGAGGAGGGTAAGCGATTGTTTGGCCAATAGTTCCAGCAGCAGCCCTACACGCAAGTCTTATGGTTACACTCAACTCANAGTCACAATGTGGATTCCAATGGCATTCACTTTCAAAATTTTACTTAGTGGAGAACAAAATGACAACCAAACATATCAAAAAAATTACCCCAGGACACACGATAGACCATGATGCTTAACCTGCGCGTCATAGTATAGTTCAACACAAGCATTTAATTTAAAGAAATAAAAATCAATGTCGTCTGGCCATGCTGACTAATGCAATTCTTTCTTTAGTGTGGTAAGACTAAATTGATTTCAAAATGGAAATGAAGTGATGATATCAAACTGACCTTTGCATAATTAGGAACCAAACCATTGTACAATGCATCTATCATGCCAAAATATTCTAGAGTGGCCTAGCTCCTTCCATCCCACCATCTACATTCTTTGACAAATGACGTCAAGAAGGTAAGTGATTGTTTGGCCAACAGCCCTACAAGCAAGTCTTGTCGTTACACTCAACTTAGAATCTTCAACTAGTCCAAAACGCATAGCTTTGATTTACCAACCAGCATTGTTTCTCGGAAGAAATTTAATATAAATCACAGTAACTCAATTCATACCACCAAGGAACAGTTGTAGAGGTGGTGTATAGAGGCAGTGCTAATTCACCTCAATTTTGCTGTTTTATGATAATACTGTTACAAGCTCATAGGGCATACAAATATTTTGTAGGCCAAGTCAAGATAACAAACTTGCAAATCCAATCAATGCATGAATAACTAACCATGACTCTTTCCAGTGGCATTCACTTTCAAAATTTTACTTAGTGGAGAACAAAATGATTATTTTTTTTTTT